TGGCACGATCTCAGGGTCCTGAGATGGAGCCCTTCGTGGGCTCTGTGCAGGGCATGGAGGCTGCTTAGGAGTCTCTCTCTCTCCCTCTGCCCTCCCCCCATCCCCTAAAGGAAGGAAGGAAGGAAGAAAGGAAGGAAGGAAGGGAGGGAGGGGGAGAAAAAGAGGAAGGAAGGGAGGGAAGGAAGGAGGGAGGGACGGAGAGGAAGGAAGAAAGGCAAGCAGACACTATGCTGCCCTTAGACAGGCAAAGTGTTCATTACCCAAAGTGCCTTTGAGTCCTCACTTTGTTTTAAAAGAGCTAAAGAGGGGCGCCTAGGTGGCTCAGTCGGTTAAGTGTCTGCCTGCCTGTGGCTCGGGTCATGATCTCAGGGTCCTGGAATGAAGCCCTGCATTGGGCTCCCTGCTGAGTGGGGAGTCTGCTTCTCCCTCTGCCCCTCACCCTGCTAGTTCTCTCTCTCTGTCTCAAATAAATAAATACAATCTTTTAAAAACTTAAATTAAATTAAAAAATAAAAGAGCTGGGTGCCTGGGTGGCTCAATCATTAAGCTTGGCTGCTTTCAACTCAGGTCATGATCCCAGGGTCCTGGGATCGAGCCCTACGGGGGGGTGCTCTCTGCTCAGCGGGAGCCTGCTTCCTCTCCCGGCCGCTCCCCCAGTTTGTGCTCTGTCAAATAAATAAAATCTTTTAAAAAAATAAAATAAAATAAAATAAAAGAGCTACACAGGCCCCTTCCTCAGCAGAGGGAGATGGCATTCACACGGATTCTCTCCGCCCATCCTACCATAACATCCAGGCCCCTGGGGCCCAGTGTCTTGTCCCTGACCGGCCAAAAGGCAGACTCTCCTTTCCTGAGCACAGCTCCCACCCTTATGGCCCCACCCCCTTCTCAATCTAGAATTCTAGAACCAGAAAGGCTCTCAGAGGCCATGAAACCCCATCTTTGTCAAGACAGGGTACATGTGGCCCACCGTGGGGCAGAGCTCAAACTTAGGAGTCTCTCCACAACCCCACACCAAGGACAGTGCCTCCTGAGTGAGTGGCCAGAGTCGTTCAGGTTGAACCTGCTGGACCTCAATTCTTTCAGTCCTGAAGCCACTGGCACTCTGACACCCCTCCTCCCCAGCCACTGCCCACTGCCCAAGAGGAATCTTCAGGAGAGCTACACACTCCCACAGTGGTTACTGGTCCCTGCTCTCCAGAGTGAGAAACATACCTAGCCTCATACTGTTTGGTTTCAAAAGCATGGCCTTGGGAGGCAGACCGAGACCCTCTGTCACAGCCACGCCGTGAACATCATCGCCATGCAGGTGGGGACCTTGCCTGTCCTGTCCTGGGTATTCACCTTGCCCTGAACGGTGCCTGACATGACATAATAAAGAACATGCTTTTTCAAACAAATGAAGCCAAGAGACCCTGAACAACTTACTTTCAACCTGTTTTCTCACCTAGAAATGGTAATAACTGCCCACCTCCCAGGTTGTAGTGAGGACAAAGGAAAACATTCGTGAAAATGCCCAGCCAGGGTCTGACACATGGCAGCCTTCATGTTACTTCTTCAAATTAGCCAGCACCCGGGGCACCTAGGTGGCTCAGTTGGTTGAGCACCTGACTCTTGATTTGGCTTGGGTCATGATCTTGGGGTTGTGGGTTCAAGTGCCGCCTCTGACTCCCTCCTCAGGGCAGTGCCTGCTTGGATTCTCCCTCTCCTCTTCCACGCTCGCGCGCTCTCTCTCTCTCTCTCTCTCTCTCTCTAATAAATAAACAAATCAAATTACCCAGCACCCTTCCCTCCTTCTACACTCTGCTCACCACCTGCAGGCAGCCTCCCCTAGTTATCTACTGGGCTCCAGTCCTGGCGTCTGTCCCAGAAACACTTCCTCCCCACATACTTGTCTGGAGTCCAGGTGATATTTCTGGAAAATATGGATTCTTACTTGTTTGCCTTTTCTTATGCCTGAGTCTTCTGCTGGACAAGGGTAAGAGCCCACCTTCCATGGCTACTCCCCCTCAATCATCACCATCACGGCCATGGGTATCTGAGGTATAGCCAAGAGTGGATTTCCAAACACGGAGCAGCTAATGTCCAAGTCCTCAGCACCACAGCCGCAGAAACCTGCTCCCATCTAGACCATTCTCCACAGTTCACAAAGCACTTGCATCTCAGTTATCTCATTTGACCCCTGAAACACCCCCTGTAAAGCCAGGATTTATTTTACAGATCAGGAAACTGAGGCTTAGAGGGGCTCCCGATCTGCCGGCATCACAGGACCTGGGAGGGGCGGCGTAGTTGTCCTGTCAGCCTCTGAGCCCATTCCCTCCAGACTAGGTCCAGAGAGCGCAGGGGAAGGTGACAGTAAGAGCGAGCCCTTCATTTCCGTGATGATTTCACATTCCTCTAACTTCCACATTTGCTCTTGTGAGAATCTTGCGGAGACAGAAATCTTGGGAGTCACGAACCCACCAAGGCAATGCCCAGCCAGAGGGTCTCATTCCCTGAGACGTATGGAATCAGTGTGCCCAAAGAGAGGCCGCTGCCCAACCTCACGGGACTTGCTGGTGACTGAGCCAGGATGTGAACCCTTATTTGCCTGACTCTCCGACTCCTCCTACTCTGTCAGCTGCCCTCACTTCTCTCTAGGCCTTCTGCCATCTGCAGAATGGGTTGGATGAGAAGATCTTTCAACCTTTCCTGCCGATCTGGGTCCCACCTGCATGTCCTCTTCATGAAAACGGGACCAGTTTTGGAGGAAGATGGTTTGAGTTCGAATCCCTGTTTGGGCAAAAGAAGCACTCACTGTCCCTGAACCTCAATTTTTTCATCTGCAAATGGGCTTGAGTGAGCTAATGGATACAGGGCTCCCACTCCCAGCACATTCAGAATAATCAGTAACTGTCAGATTTCCTCCCGTTTCTTTTTTAAGTCTGTGCAGGGCGGTCCTGGAAGACAAGGGCTCAAAATTCTACTCCAAGCTCAGCTTTCCCAACTTACTGTAGAGAAGTCGGATTAGGGGAGCCACGACCTGCGTCTGAGAGACTGGAATGGAGGAGCTTCACAGCAAAGGCACCTGACCTCTCAGGAACTTTCTGTGTATTCCTCCTTCCCATCTTCCCCAGTCTCCCTTCTGAACATTTTCCCCAGAAAGAGTTAAGCCTTCTTTGGGTTTCCCCTTCCTGACCAGCATTGCCAATGGAGATTAGAGAGATCGGATTTATTTCTCTTAATAAACAGAAGAAGTTGGGCCAGGCAGGCGACAAGGAAACAATTGGAATAATAGGAGGCTGGAGCAAAAGGGAGCAGGACTTCCTCTAGTCAGACCTGGGGCCACCCCCAGACCGGGAGAAACAACAGCCAGGGGCAGGGAGGTGGTTCCTAGGCATGTGGGCTCAAATCGGGCCACCTGCTGCCCAGAAAGCCCAATGCTACCAGATACCTAACACGATGCAGGGGGAGGCCTACCCACGGGCCCAATGACCCCAGCCCAGGCTGCTGGAGCAGGGACATAGAGGGTCAGCTTTTCCAGCCCCTACCTCCAGGCTGGTCTCCAAGGGGGAAAGGTTCCACTGCCCTGGGCTACACCACCGGCCTTCTATCTCCAACCCTGCCTGTCTAACCAGAATCCATCCTGCTGCAATTCTGACCCATGCCCTCTTGAGATGGGGAGGACTTCTGACTGAATCCCAGTGGGACAGCCTTAGGAGAGACTCTGCATGGAGCTGGGAGTGCAGAGCCCTGAGAAACACCCTTTATCCAAACTCTCCCTTAGGGCTTGGCCCAGTCATCCCTGCCCCAGCACCCTGACTTTTTGCGTGCCTGGGCCAAAGGCCCTCATCCAAAAGGAAGGCCCGGCCGGATGCAATCACACAAGAGGCTTTTCACTCTCTTCCTGATCCCTCAACCGTTCCTTCTAATTCTCCTGCAGAGGAGGGGGTTAAAGGACACTGGGAGGGTAAACATGGAATGGGATGGGCCCGCACACACCGCCATTTCCTCACCTCGGCACTGCAGCCCAAGCCAGAGGAAAGGTAGACTTCAGCAAGACAAGCCCCAAGGGAGCTCCACCCTCTTGCAGACTCACGCCCTACCCTCCAAACGGGAGTTAGAAACAGAGGGGGAAATGAGAAAAGAACCAAGCAAGTGCCCAAAAGGAAAGTGACCCCAGCAGGGATGCACCAAATCAGCCACCCCTTCCCTACCCCTCAGGCTGCCCACCCATCAGGCCAGAGAGAGCCCAGAGGCAAGGAACTGACTGTTGTATTTTAAGTACCCATCCCACCACAGCTCAGGTACAGGCTCTCCATTAATTTGAGCCTCAGTTTCCCCCATCTGTAAGCATGCTTCCATCACTGGCCTGTTTCTACCAGGGCTGGGGAACGAGTGATTGGGGGGGGGCGGGGTGCATGGTGGTTCTCATCAGTGAGCTCACCACCCCAGGAGGTGGGTGTTTGAGTTTGGCCCCCCGGAGTGGTGAGGCGGGCCAGGTGGGAAAAGCTAACAGCAACACCTTAAGAGCCTAAAGCAAGCTGTGCCCCACGTTGGGTCCTTTGTGGGGCTGAAACACTTTGAGAGCGCAATTGACCTTCTGGACCTGGAGGAATCCCCACCAGAGACGCAAGGCCACTTGCCTCTCCCATGGGCCCCAGGCCAGAGCCAAGTCTCTGACCCCCTGACTCAGCAGAGGGCAGAACCTGGGTGAGCCTGGGGGAGGGGGGATTGCCTCACCGTCCCAAGAGCCAGACTGCCAGCACTTCCTGCTCGAGCCCGGAGATTCCTGTCCCAGCTAGGGGTCCCTTCCCCCTAGAATGGGGTCGGGCTGAGTCTGGGAAATGCGGGGAGGCGGCATAGAATGGGAGTGCTCGAACTGAGCCCCCGGCTCTCCGCTCCCCCGGCCCCGGCGCCGAGGGGTTCACCCTTCCAACACGCCCCGGACCCCCGGCGGAGCCACCCCCGCCGCACCCTCGGCGCCGCCGGCGCGCAGCCCAGGTGCCCCGCCGCCTTACCTCGGCCTTTACCCTTGGCCCTCCTGGCCTTGTCGTCCGCCTTCTTGGCCCGGGGGGCGGCCGATTCGGCGCCCTCCGCCCCGGCCGCCTTCTTCTTGCGCCGCTTGCCCCGCAGCCAGCTGAAGGCGCGGCGGAGGCCGGACGCGCCGGAGCGGGACTTCTTCCTGCGCGGGGGGCCGCCCGGACCCCCCGGCTCTTCGGCCGCAGGTGCGGCGGGGGGCGCGCGGGCCGCCATGGCGCGGCGGGCGGACCTCGGCGGGGGTCAGGCCCCCTGCGGCCGGGCATCCATGCGCGGCTCGGGCGCGCGGGCAGGCGGCCGCCGCGGGGAGACGCGCCGGCGAAAAGTTTGGGCGGCGGAAGCGCAGCCCGCGGGGAGCGGCCGGGCGGCGGGAGCGGCGCGGGAGGGGCGGGTCGGGCGGCGGGCGGGGCGCGGAGGCCGGCCTGCAGCCGGGGAGGGAGCGGCCGCGGGGCGGGGGCGGCGCCGCCTGCCGCCCTCCCCGCCGCCTCCTGCCCGCCGTCCGGCTCCGGGTGCTCCGGGGGGCCGAGGGAGGGCGGGGTCAGGCGGGTGGCGCGGCTGCCGGGGGACCTAGTGGGCGGGGTCGCAGGGCGGGGCGGGAGGAGCTGGCCTGAGATTCGGGGCGGGCAGGGGCGCGAAAGGGGAGTTGGCCTCGCGGGAGAAGGTATTGGGAGGCGGGGCGGAGGAATGCTGGGCTCGGACCCCAGGACAGCCAGGTATCCTGAGTTCAGCCTGGGAATACCTGGGGTTCTTCTCCTGGAATATGGGAGTTCTGATACTTCTTTCCAGGACTCAGACGGCATTGGAGTTTGCTTGCTCTGGAGACTGAGGCTGCAGACGCACCTGAGACCTGTGACCCACAGTGGGCCTTCCTCTCCAGTCTGGTGACTGGGCAGACCTCTCCTAATCTCCAATTCATCGCAGCTTCCCCAGTGTCAACCCTCAATGTGGAGTTGGGCTCCATGCTTCCTGCGCTCTCTCCCTACCCCTTAGTGAGGGGGAATGAGGAGAGTCGTGCCTCAGTTTGCCCTTGGACTTTGCTGTCAGGCCCCAGGGCACCCCTGCTTGGGCCTGGATTCCCCACTGAGATGCTCAACGCAGATTAGGGCTGATCTTGGGCATGATAAACTCATAGCTTCTAAGGGGCTTTGAGATCCTCTTTGGGTAAAAAGTGTGACTAAGTATGGTCGTAGGGAAGAAAGCCTTTAGGAATCATGAAAATGCTGTGCTCATTTCTTCCAGGCCTCTGGCTCTTTATCACAGCTGACCAAGCACTTTTAAAACATCAGATCCCACACCAAGCCATGAGAGATCAGCGCAGGGAGTGTTACCTCCATAACACAGAAGGGAGACTGAAGCCAGGAGAGGTCACTGATTGCCAAGAGCACAGAGGTGGTCAGCAGCAGAGGAGCCAAGACCAGCAATCTAGATCTTGTCTCAGCCTGGTCCATAGGACTAGAAATTGCCCTAGGGCACAGCCGTGGGCTCAGGGGTCCCAAGAAGGACACTGTGCTACCCCACCAGTTAGAGTTTGCCTTCGTCCATCCAACCTGACTCTGGACACATCACTTTCTCCTGGCTCCTGGTCTAAACAAGGGCAGAGACACATTTGTCTGGGGTACCCAGGCCAGGCAGCCCTGACATAGTGTAGACAGGACTCACTGTATCACTGAAAATAATTGCACTGCAGAGTTTAGCTTCCCTGACCTGCCTTAGCCCGCTGTGTGTCCTCAGGGGCTCAGCTTTGACAAACCCCGGGGGGATTTGCAGCAGATCATTATCCTTGCTGGGCCTCAGTTTCCCCATCTAATCATCATTCATTCAGGTCTAGCCCACATCCCAAAGTACCTCTTCTGGACCAGGCACTGGGCCAGGCACAGGGACCACAATGGGCCCTGTCCTTGTGTTCTCTCTGCCCAGCCCAGCACTGGCCTTAAGGACCCTTCCTCTCCCTCACTTGGCAAGTATCATAGGAGAAGTGTTACAGGCAAGGCTGAAACACAGAGAAAGAGCGCCATGCAGGAACTTGGCCTGTTGGATAGTCCGGAAGCACTAGGTAGGGAGGAGAGAGGAAGGCAAACATACTCTGGCTTTTGGAAGGGGCGATCAGGAGAGGGATATGTCAGTCTTGTCCCCCCACCAACCCTTTCAGCATCTCCTTCCCACAATTTGCAGGGCCTGGTCCAAAATGAAAATGCAGGACCTTTTGTTCAAAAATTACTAAAATTTTTGGGCACCTGGGTGGCTCAGTCAGTTAAACATCTGCTTTCAGCTCAGGTCATGATCTGAGGGGTCCTAGAATCAGGCCTCTTAGGGCTCCCTGCTCAGTGGGGCATCTGTTTCTCCCTCTCCCTCTGTCCCTCCCTCCCCCACTCTAGCTCTCTTTCTCTCTCTTTCTCTCTCTCTCAAATAAATAAGATTACTAAAATTTTCTTTTTTTTTTTTTTTAAGATTTTATTTATTTATCTGACAGAGAGACACTGCAAGAGAACACAAATAGGGGGAGTGGGGGAGAGAGAAGCAGGCCTCCTGCCAAGCAGGAAGCCCGATGCAATGCAGTGCTCCGTCCCAGGACCCTGGGATCATGACCTGAGCTGGAGGCAGATGCTTAACGACTGAGCCACCCAGGGGTTCCAAGGTTATTAAACTTTTCAAGAAGGCAGGGCATCTAGCGGGCTCAATAGGTGAAGCATGAGACTCAATCTCAGGGTCATGAGTTTGAGGCCCATGTTGGGCCTAGAGCTTACTTTAAAAAAAATTTCAAGAAGGCAACAGCAGAGCATTCAACCAAGTGTGGGACCTTTCTGAAATCAGGACCAGGGGTGATTGGGCCTATGAAGTTGGCCCAGCCAGTGGTTCATATAATTCCTTAGCAAAAATTCCTCTCAAACCACAATCCCCCACCCAGGAACTCCTGGCTGGCTCATTGGTAGAGCATGCAACTCTTGATCTCAGGGTCCTAACTTCCTTTTTTTTTTTTTTAGATTTTTATTTATTTATTTGACAGAGATTACAAGTAGGCAGAGAGGCAGTAGAGAGAGAGGGTAGGGAAGCAGGCTCATTGCTGAGCAGAGAGCCCAATGCGGGGCTCAATCCCATCAGGGTCCTAACTTCAAGCCCACACTGGGCATAGAGTTTACTTAATTTAAAAAAAAAAAAAATTGAGGGGCACCTGACTGGCTTGGTCAGTAGAGGATGCAACTCTTGTTCTCAGGGTTGTGTGTTGGGGCCCCACATTAGATATAGAGATTACTTAAAAATACTATCTTTTTTAAAAATTGAAAAAAAAATCCCCACAACCCCCAGGAGTCAGCTCAGTGATTGGGTCTCCTGATTTGGAAGTGGGGAAGGAGGGGAGTGGGGAGAGGTCAGGGTTATTTTCCCTTCTTCTAACTCCCAACAGCCAGACATTCTCACCTCCCAACTCCAACCCAGACCACTCTGAGACCAGGAGCCCCAGCTTTCCCTCTTGTCCACTGGCCTAATGGACACACGTACTTCGGAGACAGCCAGAGAGGGCTAGCCTGGGAAGGGCTAGCCTGAAACCCTGCCCTCTAGATTCATGATTACTCATCTCAGCTACCTTTTTTTGCTGGCCCTGTGGGCAGCTAAGGAAACAGAGTTTTCAGCAGCCCATGTCAGCAGGGCCCAAAGTCCATCCTGGAACGAGGCTGTCACCTGACCAGGCAGGAAGCTGCAGCTGTAAGGAAAGACCAGCAACAACCAGGCTTGGGGCAGCAGCCCCCAGACCCTCCAGCTTTGCCCCCTCTGTTTCCGGAAACCCCAGAGCCACCTTGATGTTGCCCCTATACCCACCCAAGACTCCCCTCCCCCCACCTCCCACTCCCAGGGAGACCTGCCTCCCGCAAGCTCCAGCTTTGTCCTCTACTGGGCCTGGTCTTCTCACAAACTCCAAACTGGGCAGCCAGGCCAAGGTGTGGCTGAGCCTCCCTCATTTTACAGGGAACACCAGGAAGAAAAAGAGCCTGTAAATCATACAGCCAAGGGTAGGAGCACCTGTGACTCCCTTCAGTTCTTAGACTAATTGGAGAGGCAGAAACTATAGTGCAAGGAGGGAGCAGTTCTGCAAAGCTGAGATATGGAGTGATTAACAGTGTTCTATTCTGGGGTGCCCGGTGGCTCAGTCGGTTGAGTGTCTGGCTTTGGTTCGGGTCATGATCTCAGGGTCCTGGGATCAAGTCCTGCATCAGGCTCCTTCTTTCTCTCTCTTTCTCTCCCAAATAAATAAATAATTTTTTTTAATCCTGTAAAAAAAATTTTTTTTTAAATAGTATCCCTATTCCATGTATAAGACAGCCTAAGAAGAGGTAGAGTGACTTTGCTAGCATCCATCTCTGGGCAGAGGTGGACTTTAAAACTGGCTTGTGCTCACGTGTGTGTTTGTGGGTGTATGTGTTTCCTAACTGAGCACTTGCTTTATGTCAAGCCTTCCTACGGGAGGCAAGCTGCTTTCAAGGATAGACAGTGAAGACCCTGGAAAAAGAAAATACTTTTCCAAATGTTCTGCTTAACTTTGAATGCACTTGTATGCATTTTTCTGGGGAAAGTTCCATAGCTTTAGCCAGATTCCCAAAGGGGTTCCTATTTCAGAATGAAGTAAGAATCTGCTTTGATCCTTTTCAGTGGGAGGATAAGATAGAAGGAGGCCCCTGGCATGATGCCTTCCTCCCCTCTCCTCCCTAATGTAGGGGTGGGGGTGGGGAGAGGTGTGCCGGTCCCTTCCACACTGTGGGGATTCCTTGGTCCCCTGTTCTGGCTTCTGGCATCTGAGGCAGCAGGGTTTTGTGTTTTTGTTTTTGTTTTTTTTAAGATTTTATTATTTATTTATTTGTTTGACAGAGAGAGAGAGATCACAAATAGGCAGAGAGGCAGGCAGAGAGAGAAGGGGAAGCAGGCTCCCTGCTGAGCAGAGAGCCCAATGCTGGATCCTAGGACCCTGAGATCCTGACCCGAGTGGAAGGCAGAGGCTTAACCCACTGAGCCACCAAGGTGCCCCATGAAGTAGCAGTTTAATATGTCAAACAACATCTGCTGAGGGCTTATGATTTTCCCAGCACCTCCAAGAATCAGGTGCTGAGCCTACTTGCACCCATTTTCCCTGCTGGGTTGAGAGGTGATAAAGCACCCAACGGGCTTGTGGTGGGTGCCGGGAATGAGTTGGACCCTGGTGGGCTCCCAGCTCCAAGCTGGTGCCAGTT